TTTCACAATTTAAATAACTCATTTCTGTCATGGTTGAAAAAAGATCACATTCTTACATATATATACTTTAGAAATCATTTCAGTATTGGAATACGGGATAATTTATGCATAACCACGAAGAGGAATTTGCATATCTTAAAAGCAAACGCTGCATTCGTCCTTTTTACTATGCTGAGCGAAATAAATCTATAAAATAAATAACATCAAAGAAGGCATGAGATTTGTTGTTTTCTTGTTGATTGAGAGTTAGTTTTCATTTTAGTTGTTTGAGAGTATGAAGGAATATTGTATATGGACAAAGAACGTATTGCTTAAATAATTTTGTTCAGATTTATAACTTTGAATGATTTTTTTTTTGCATTTATTCTTAACATTCGTTAAATATTTTTGACTTAATGTTCTATCATTTTAAAAATTTTATACAATGTTATTATAGAATATTATTATACAATCCATAGCTCCTCAGAAATCATTCTTTTATTTTTCCCTTTATTTTAGTAACATATTTGTCACAACGGTTTGCAAGAGTTTTTAAAGAAATAATCCGCGAAATATTTTCAAAACTGTTTGCAATTTTAGTTTTGCGATATTGAAATATGAGTTTTTAAATATAACCTTTTACTTTCCACTTTTTTCCCAAAATTTCCACAGTTGATATTTTTCAACTTAAATTAATGCATTGTTCTGCTGAAAAATTCGACTTGATTTACCACTTTTACTCACAATTGGAAATGAATGGATTTTTAACAGTTTTTGCTAATCGTTATCCTCCATGGAGCATTGAGGAAAGGCAAGTTTTTTATTTACCACGACAGATAAAGCCATTCCCAATAGAATGGGAAAAAGAAAAGAAAAAAAACGCTCAACTTTTCTCATGTCATTGTAATGGCACACAAAACTGTCTGTGTCCTCCAATTTTTTTTTCAGTTCCTTTTTATTTGTGAATAGCTTTTAACATAAGATACAGTGATCTTAAGATACATAAATCTTTTATGTCACAAATTGTTTGTACGACACATAAAATGGAATGGTGGATGAAAAAAGAAGGGAATCCTCCAACAAGGAGCAAGGTAAAGGCTGTTTAATGGTGGAGGAAGTCTTCGACTACAATGGTATACTTAGCATAGCTTTTTCCTCAGTAATTTATGGAGAGAATTGGCACACTAAATTGAGTTTTCCAGCAGAACAAATCATCGACCCACTCGCAAAATCTTCTCTGGTATAGGTTTTCAATAATAAAAATTTGGATGTTATGGAATGTCCCACCTTTCCTTTTGACCTCAACATGCAAGAAAACTTGATGTTATGTTCTGTCCCCAGCAATGACTGTAATACAGGAAAAAAAGCAGTTTCAGTTGTGGCAGGAAAAAGAAATTCTACCATCATTGAAACCTGGTATAATATTGATGCTACTGTCTATAATCAGAAGTTGTTTTATTTTAAACAGAATGTTATTTCTTTTTCTCATTCCTTACCTATTAAATTTTTTTCCTGTCCAGATTGATTAGTAAGTGAGTAATTTCTTGTAAATATATACTTGAACATAGACTATTTTGATTTACATGATAGGTTGAATTTTGTTTTTTTTTTGCTGCCAGTAACGGCATAAAATAAAAATGGTATTAGTTCAGTGAGACACACTGTAGTATGTAAATTTATTTATCGTAGGCTTAAATATATTAACTCTCAGAGTACTGTTCCTACCTTTTAAGATATTCACATAGATAGCAATTCTTTTTTTTCTCGATAATTTAAGAAGTTTATTTGATTGTAAGAATACACACCATTATTTTACAAAATATGAAAACATAGCATTGTAATCGGTTTTACTGTCATAGAATTTCATTGCTAAAATATTATTTATCAAAATGCTATTTTTTATTCATCATAGTATGGAGCTCTTAAATTAAGCAGCTCTCTAACTTTTTCATTGTAAGCAATAAAAAGGAAGCAATATTTTAAATTGTATTTATAATTGTTGAAAATAGCTCGTTATTGTTAAATAAACCAAACTAATAATTCGCTTATTGCTTCTACACTAATTACAAAAAGAGAAATATTTTTGAATTTCATTTTGGTATCCTCCTGCAACATTGCAAATTTAAGTTTAGATAAAGTATTTTGATTAAATCAATTTTACTTAAAATTCAATACAATTCAGTTTTAACAATACAATCAATAATTGTTTTGATGCAGACATTGCCTTGCTTAGCATTTTCAGAAAAGTAACACCTCAATATACATTATTAACTTAAGACAAAGCAACTTAAAATAAGATTCAAAACAATTAAGCATCTCGTCAATACTCCCTGTAAGACACGTTCATATCCTGAAAATGCCTCCGTTAATGACGTAGTTATGATTAATTCTGACGTGGCACGAGTTTCAGGAAAATTTCTCAATATAATACATTATTGTAATAGGCTATCGTTTTCGGTTTCTGGTTATTCTCGTGCTAGGCCTTTACATAAAATAGATATACATTATTGGTCTCCGTGGGCACACAAAGCTTCCGCTTTTCTCTATTTGATGGAAGACCTACTTGTAAGCAATTGAGCGTTCCTAGGGGAGAATTGTTCTAAAGAGATATTGAAAGCACGTTTTGTTGTGCGCAGCGCGCCCCCTACTTTAATGTTTTGTGTATATGAACTGCCATTTTAGCGATATAATTGAATTGGGAGGAAACTAGCGATTCTTGTTTTACGAATAAGGAAATTTGATTGTTTCAAAAACTCTTTGCTCAATTTCTCCCAAATGCAACCCCCACCCCTCGTTTAGCTAGATTATGATCTTTATGATACATAAGGGTAATTTTATTGAATGTTCTGTAATTATTTTTGCAAACAATATTAATTCAAAAGAATGTTTTATTTTAATTAATATTGTATTTTTGAAAAGAGATTATTTTACATCTAAATTGGCTAATATAAGTTTTGTATGATATTTTCTCCTGTTTTGATTATATATATATATTTTTTTTTAAAATAATAAACGCAAAAAATATACTTTTACAAGAATTATAATAACGGGGGTGCTTATGTATTTTTAATTAAGCAGTTACTTGCATTTTTATATTAGCATTTTTCATTGTTCATATAAGATTAAAAAAAATTTAATGTGGTAAAAATAAAATATTTGCCTGGTTTCAATAGCATTTTGTTTTATTCCTCCGTTAAATATGCATATTTTTTTCCTTTTTGATAGGTATTATAATAAATATCTGATCAAATAAATCAAAAAATTATTCAGGGTGGTTTATTTATTTATTTTTTTTTGGGGGGGGGAGGGTGTCTTGAACACACCTTCAAATCATGTAAGAAAAAAAAATTTACATTCAGTTGATTAGTTAAAAGGTTTTATATGCAATTTCGTATTTTATGCATAAATTCTTCACTGTTGATATTATTATTCTCTGCTGCGTGAGTCAAGTGTGTAAAAGTTAAATTCAGAATGTTCACTATTAATTTAATTATACATTTTCCTACTTTATTGAAGTTTCGTAAACCATATGTAAAACTCTCGGGGCCAGATGATTTTTTCTAACAGGAAAATATATAAGTTATATCGCGTGTTATTCTGAACAGTCTAACACTCAGTATAAGATAATGCTAAAAAAAATTTCACGGTTATGACAGAAATACTGAAACCCACTCTCTGAAAACAAAAAGAAGCACACCTATTTTCTAAATTGGAATCGTCGGCAACTTCAAGTATTTCGTTTTAAATTATATACTTAAATTTTTGTCAATAGATCTACATTTCTCTATTATATTTGTTTTCACTTGGCCCACAAGATTATTACTTAATTAACCTATTAAGTTCGAATTTGGTTATCAGTTTGAGTATAGAATGTAGTCCAAATTCATACTAGCTCTTGAATATTGTTAAATATTCTATTATTTACTTTGAGGAGGGCATCAAAATAATTTTTCCACTTCTTTTAGATAGTACCACTTTAAATTGAGTATATTTGACTGCCAATTAAGGGCAGTCGGTAGAGCATATACCAATAATGCTAAAACTGACCTTTTTCGATGTAGCTTTTCTAAGCATCTAAACAAGATATTGTTTTAATTTTTTTTCACAGAAAGCTTAGATGTTTTTACTGTGTTAACTATTAATACATATCTTTGACAGATTTTTTTTTTAAAAAATGCTGAAAATATTTAAACTGAGAACTTTTAATTTTTTTAATTAGTTTCATCACTTTCGAGCAAAAATCTTTCATAACTCAAAAAGTATTCTTGTTAAAGCTAAAACACTATCATAGCATACAAATGGTATAGTCTCAAATATTCCCAAAATAATTCAAAGCTATATCGTTTTTGCATTATTGATATATGTCACACTCACTCCTCTTAAAAGTTGCTTCGAGTCATTAACATAATTTTTCAGACATACTGTCTGCATAAAACCATAGTATCTCCTTTATTCTTCAAATTTTAACCCTAAAGAAAAATAATTTATGTAAGTGCATTGCATTATTTCACAAAAGCGTTTTCAAATAAATAATATATGTGCTTTTGTTAAACTTCTGTTCCGTAAAAGTTCGGAGTCCTAAGTAAAATAAAAACATAGTCAAAAGAAAAAGTCAAAAACGAAGTTGTACTTTGATGCGTTTTGAATGAAATCAAAACCACCTGAACCCATTATCCAAAAATGCATAAACATAAATTCAATTCTTTTAACGATTTAAAGCAGTAGCTGACTTAAAACTGTAATATATGTGTATATATATATGTGTATATATATATATATATATATATTCTTTCGAAAATATTGTATAAAATACTTTTTTAAATCAGTGTAATTTCAATTATAATTTAAAAACCAGTTTCTAATCAATATTTTTTTTAAAAGAATAAATTATAAAATATTTCTTTATTGCATTTAACTTGAGAAGATGTACTTTCTTCCTGTCTTTCCTGAGAAGATCTTCCTCTTGCATAAATATTGATCTATACGTTGCAAATTAAGTAACTGTAAATTTAATGATTATGATATCTATCATTTTTATGCATATTTTATACATTACAAATGAAAATACTCATCTAATGACATTTGTTGTATTTCAGGAGCAACAGGTCTGGGCAGAAGAGGACATCGAATCAATTTAGCCGACATTCTAAGCAAAGAATTTGAACCTAGATTATTCAATGGCAGTTGGGTTTCAGGTAAAAAATACTGCTTTAATCTTAGAATGCTGTCACATTTGAAGATATTTTAAAATATAATAATATCTGATTTACAATGATATTGCTTTTTCTTTTAGTAATTGATACAAGTCTTTGAACTCAAGCAATTTAATTTATATATATATATATATATATATTACTGTGTGTGTGTGTGTGTGTGTGTGTGTGTGTGTGAAATAAAATAATGAATTATAAATGAGTAAGTCATCAAATAATCAAAATAAAAATTAAAAATTTAAGCACTGTTATACATATACTTATTAAACTTAATTTATTATTGATCTATTCGAAACATTATTTAAATAAAAACAAAGGGTTGAAAAAGTAAAAACAAAAAATGCGAATTAAATATCTTTTAATAACGAATGTTTTATTTAAAATTTCCCCATATATTTTTTGGCTGTTTTTCTCTTATAGACACAGGTTACAATGCTTAAAAAATTTACGAAAAAGAATTTATTTCTGCTTAAAACTGCAACTCGTAAGGCAAATGCTTGCGAAAAGGAACAAAACTCTACTCTATACAAGCTAAATATAAAAATCCATAAAAGTTTAGTCTTTTGTAGTTTTATATTTATAAGTGAACTATTCCTCCCGGAAATCTAGTTTAATTAATTCCTTATCCGAGCGTGTTTGTTACAAGCTGTTTTCTGCATGCACTCTCAGCCTTGTTCAAAGCGTTGTATCTAGAATTCTACATGCAAAACTGGAATTAATATTAAGAAACTTATCGTGCTAGAATACAAATGCGCTTTTCTCGTTGAAAGTTTTGTCATAAAACGTGTAAAGTTCATTAAGAATAAACGAGAGAAAATGTCTGATTAAGTTTTCTAAGAGAATTATGTGAAAGTAATATTTACCGTCTATTTTATTTTCTATCTTTAAACTTGAGAGATGAAGACGTAAATGAAGAAGAAGAAAAAAGAATGAGAATGTTATGAATTTTGATTAGCTTGTGTGTATTTATTAGTTTAATAATTCATCTGCAAAATTCAAGAATACTATTTGAAAACAAGTTATTTTATTTTAATAAATGCAAATTAGGTATTATTAACATTTATTGCTATGTGCAAGAAAATGTGCGCTATTTTAAAGTAAGTAATTTAGGCCAGTTTGCGTACGAAGAATAAAGCTCAATACACTTCGAAAATAATTAGGGGAAGGATAGAAATTTTGATCAAAGTTGTAATTTGGTTCCAATAAAGATAAAGCTGTCCTAATGTCCCTAAGGTAAACTGCTATTGAGGATTTCGAGCGAGAGTGGAAAAAGGTGAAAAAATTTACATTTTATTTTCGGCCAGTAGTTGCCAATATTTTGACCCTTACGATCCACCCAGCAGAAAATATTTTAAACTCGCTGAATACGACTCCTTTTAATTGGAGGAGAGGAAAAGTTTCCCAACTAGTCTCTCTAAAAATGTTCCGCTTCAAAACGAAATTTATGTGTAGATTTTCTATAAATTTAAAAAAAAACTATTCAACATAGCAAATTTTCATGTGAATATACTGTATATTTTTAATAATTTTCACATGGCAATTAAAGATGAGAGAGAAAATTAAGATGGTGATAATGATTAATTAAAGTATACTTAAAATTAGAATAAAAGGAATACTATCCAATAAGTTTTTCTTTCCAAGGTCAGGGACTGAAGGAGTGTTGCTACAACAGCAATACCATTATTCATTACCGAATTTTTCTTTAGTGTTAACATGGACCACAGTACGGTGACTGTTGATACAAAAAAAAAATCTCAGACATTTTAGTAAAATTTAAAGAATTGGGGATTAGTTTAGAGTATTACAGTAGCAATAATACGGTTAGCACCACTATTAAAGGAAATTCTCATTGCCCGTATTTGCAAGAAACTTCTTTCAAAAGTAGTTGAGTTAATCGTTAAATTAAATTTTAAGCTCACTTCTTCAATACATAAATACATCTCCTTTATATGTAATTATAAGAAATTACAATAGATATAGATTTGAAAATACTTTTAATATTTAATAATTTTGAAGCATGATAATATTTAACTAAGGTATATACACAATTAAATTCTGATTATTTTTTATTTTTACTATTTATCTGCTTAAAATATTTCTAATATATATATTTTATTTTTAAGCTCAACCTTGAAAAATTTACTTTTGTTCGAAGTTACTTAATAAATACAGAAATAATAAATGCAATAATTATAATTATTTTATAATTTTATTAGAACAAATAATCATCCGTTAACTCTTTATCTCACATACACCATTTGTAATAATCATGCTTATGTATGAATCATTTTAAAAAGAATCTATATTTGTATTAAATTCTTCATTGTTTGAAAGGGATGTAATTAAATATCTATAAATTATTCGAAATCCTATTATGGATATTCTTTTATATAAAAACACAACGCTGCCTAAATAAAATATTTCTTATACTTCCTAGAGCCTTATGACTGTTTGTTTATATTTATTTATATAACTTATCTTCTTTATTTGATATGAGTGAAGAAATTCCGGAATAAGAAGGAAATCCGAAATATCTCGCGTATTCCAGTTTTCCTTTATTTATTTGTGTAGTAGTAATTCAATGTTCTTCTGGCCTTTCCCATTTAATCGTCTGGAACAAAACTGCAATGAGGGGATACAAAGAGGATGAACCAACGAATGATTTCCAATACTAAAGCGTTTTGGAAAGAAACAAAAACGTTGTCTTTTCTTTTAAATATTATTTTCTTAACCTTATAAATGAGTATAAGTTTGCTGAGCTACTAAGAATTATTCGTTTGCCTTAAGTAAATTAAGATAAAACGCTTAATAAAATACTATTGCTATTGCTTTCTTTGACGATNTAGATCAGTAGAACCGAGGAGTAGGTCATTCTGACCCAAAATCGTATTTGTTGACGTTTTTCTCAGAAAGTTACATACGAAAATGTGCGAGAACTTATGATTTTTATTACTTTTCTGTCTATCACAACTGTAGAAATATTATGAGCCTTAATTAAAGGAATGTTTAGTTACTCACATGTTTAGTAACTTACACCTAAACATTAAATGAATTCGTGGTCACTTACACCTAAAACCCTGAGGTTGGGTCATTCTGACCCAGTTCCTAAAAGTATGTGTTGTAATTTACACTCATGGACAAAAAAATTAGCGCATCAAGAAGGAGTTGTCAAAATGAAACGAAATTTTACATACGTAATGACTACTTCGATATAAAGAAATGATTAGAAAATCAAAGATTATCGTTTTTCTTTGATTTTCTAATTCATTTACTTATATCAAAGTAGTCATTACGTATGTAAAATTTCGTTTCATTTTGACCACTCCTTCTTGGTGCGCTAATTTTTTTGTCCATGAGTGTAATAATGAATGAGAAATATTTCTTTCTTCAACTTCTTTTTTCGCTTTTCATTATATAGAAATAGTCTAAATTATGACGTCAGTGCTTAAATTGGCTAATAATTTTGGGTATTGATAAGAAGATTCAATCATAAAGTATGAATCATTCATAATTTTGAATTGGAGATGTATCTTTCCCCCTGTTGCTTTTCTTTTGTTGAATGGAGCTGACGAGTAGTTTTGAGAATGTCATTGCAGAACAGTGTTAGTTACTGATTACAAAGGGGTGAAAACTTAATTCTACAATTCTACAATTTTTATTTTTTCAAGTCCTTCAAAATAGCAGACGGACTATGTTCAGTGATGCGAACTTATTTGAAAGACAGTGATGTGACAGTTAAAGACAGTGGTGTAAACTTATTTGAAAGATAGTGATGTGACAGTTAAAGACAGTGATGTGAACTAATTTGAAATTTTTCCCTTGAATAAATATGTCTCGGAATAAAAATAACCGTAAACTTACACTTAGTGAGGCGCTTGAATACCAGAAAATTACTCGGAAAAAAGTGGTGATGATTTTGTAGCGATGAGAATTATGCAATTCCAAATAAAGAGTCTTTCTCATCAGATAATGAAAATGATGAACACTCATTTTCTACTACCATCCCATCAACTAGCAAGACAAAGAAAAAATTTCCTAATGAACGAAGAAGAATCGATATAAATTCTGAAAGTGTAGAAATAAACCATTTTGCTTCCAATGATGGAACTCGTTGGGAAACTATTACACCTAGCATTGGCAATCAAAGTAGATTGGTTGGACGCAACTTTTCAAGGAAATGCCTGGCCCATGTCCTTTCGCCAAAAGAAATATTGACGAAAGTTGTGATTTTGGTTTATGAACACTATTTTTGGATCAAACTATAATGCACTATATCAAATATTGCACAGTGGAAGAATCTCACTCTCAACTTTGGAATGAAGAGTGATCAACAAGAAATTGATGAATTTTTTGCAATTTTATATATTAGAGGTACATACGGTGCGAGGAATCTTGAGCTTGATTCTGTATGGTCTGTTATTTGCGGTCATCCTTTTTTCGTGATACAATGGCAAGAGATAGATTCCGAGAGATTATAAGATTTTTAAGATATAATAAAAAGAACGACAAGATCTGAAAGCTTTTAAACTGATTAGTTCGCTCTCATTTCCGAAGTATGAATAAATTTTATTGACATTTTTTTTCTTTGCTATAAGTCTGGACCTTACATAACTGTTGATTAACAGCTCTTCTAATCTAAAGCCAGGTGTCGTTTTATCCAGTATAGGCACAAGATATTATAGAAGTTGAACGTGTACGTTGGATAAATAATAATTGAAATATGTCTAGGTAAATATGCTTTCAGATAGAGTTTTCTACGTATTTTTGGATTAATTAAAGGTATATCAAACCAATATTCTGTTTTTATACGTTCTTTTAGATACTGTGTATTTAAATGAGCATTATTAAGATTACATGGGCTCATTGAGCTCTGATCGAGTGATTTTGTGAAACTAACCAAATGGTTACATTTATTTCCGACAGTAAACTTTTACAGGTGAATAATATGTTACTTATAGGTATGGTTTTTTATGTGAGTTTCA